AATAGTTTATATATTCTTTTCACGACCCCAAAGTTCTTTTTCTTTTATAGAAACCCCATTACATTTTCTTCTAACTTATGCATTAGTTTGGATGTTTGTTTTTTTAGAAACAATTCTTTAAATATATAAAGCGGAAAATAATGTTCCCAAGTTGCTATACAATATTCTCCCTAGGTTGTTAAATTTTAGAATATAACCCAAAAAGGGTTGAAACCATGGATTGTAGGTCGTGACATGTTCACCGTGATATACACTATACATTCATGGCACATTTGATTATAGTGAACGTAATTATGCCATCAATTAAGTGTGCATGTATACACAAACATGGCTGAGTGGTAGGCTTAAAAGTGCTCCTCCCAGTTCAAACCTCCCACAAAACTACACCACAAATTAAACGTGTGGAAATAGGAGTTTTCACATAGTTTTCACTGATCCTGGGATTAGTTAGATTTTTTGGACCTGTTGACCAGCTGATCCATATTCCGTTGCTAGTAGCTCGGACGTGGTTAAGTGGCGCTCGTTGGCCCGATTATCCGAGTTATAAAAATAAATGTGTGTTGTGTGACAGTGTGAACACATGACTTCATTTACAACATGCGCCTTCGTCCTTATATATTGTATTTGTGAATTTATTTTCTTTGGGTATTATAGCAAAATAATATTTTTTGATAAAGAATACGAAAAACAATATTAGCAACTCTAAAAAATGCCCTTTTTCAAAACAAACATAAAAAGTCTCTTTAAAAACAAATATAGATACAAATACAAGGTTAGCAAGTGTTACAAAAGAAATACAAGTTAAGAGCATCATTATTAGAGAGTCCTATTTTTAAGTCCTTAACAAAATTTATTTGTATGTATATATTATATATGCGTATATAATAGTGGATTAAGGACTTTACGGAAACCCAAATCGGAAGTTCCTTAATTAAGGACTTTCGGTTTGGATTTCCGTAAAGTCCTTAATCCGTAATTATATACGCATATATAATATATACATACAAATAAATTTTCTTAAGGACTCAAAAATGGGACTCTCCAATAATGATGCTTTAAGCTGTGTTCATTACATGAAATGCAATTAATTAATTTATAGTTTGTGACTTTGGGTTTGGTATCTCCCTCACTTGGTAAGTTGTTTTGTGGTTGTTATCTTAGCAAATACTAGCAAATAACAATACAATGGGAGTCATACTAGGCGGTTTCTTGTTTGTCTGATAAATTGAATAATTGGTAATACTATGATTGTTTCTTCTACAGCTACATTAACATGTAAACAAAAGCTTTAACTTTAAAAAAATTATAATCTAAAAAAATATATAGTTATAGAAATATTTTCTGAAGTTAGGTTTGAATTTGACTAATAAAACTACAGTTGTGTACACGTCGGAATGGTCGTACTGTCTTGTACCAGGTAAAAATACAGAGTATCCATTCCATAGATTTCCTTAGAAAATCTTCTTTACAAAAAAAAAAAGGAAAGGATGTGGAAGGAGATGGTAGAAATCATGTTGACCAAAGCAAATATCGGACGTCACCTTTTATTCATTCCTCTCTTTTTTTCTTATATTTTCTCCAAATCTCTCTCTCTCTTCGCTTTGAAACAGAGCTTCCCCTGTTCCTCTCTTCCCTCTGTTATTCTAATAATAATCGGTTAGTATTTTCATTATTATTTGGTTATATTTGAATCTTCTTTCTTGATCCTAATTGTTTGATTGGTCTCCCCCGAATTTTGATGGAAAGTATTAATTTTTTGTTTGTTCTTCGTTTAGGGTCTGAATAATATCATCATCTTGGGTCTGTCTGTCTGTCTGTCTGAATCCAAGGAATAGTTGAATTGTTCTCACTCACTCGAAAGGCATTGAAAGCTTCCTTCTTTCTGGTTCTTGTATTCTTTTTTATCGAATTTGCTAAGTTGTTGTTGAAGAAAAGCTAAAACCTTCAAACTGATCAGTTTTCGGTTTTGGCTGATGGATTCTTGGAGCTATGGGGGGGGCAAGTGTTTTCTTGCCTAATGGAACCTTCCTTCTTCCTTCTGATTCTTTTCCTGAGAATCCAAGATCAATAGCTGGATTTCAACAGGGACTCTCTAATGAATTTGACAAGGATGATGTCTTCAGAGCTGTTTCTTCTTCTTGTGTGGTTCCTTCCAGTTTGTTATGCGTTGAGGAGAACAAGTCTTCTTCTTCTTCGAACTTGTCTAGGATAGATTTCGAACTTAGGAGCTTTATGGATTACTCGAACAATGATGGTGGTACTTCCTCTAGAGACTTTGCTCTTCCAGCTAAAAAGCCTCGAGCTTCAAGCTCATGCTCGGAGGATCCCATGTGTCAAGTCTACGGATGTAATATGGATCTCAGCTCTTCAAAAGATTACCACAAAAGGCATAGAGTTTGCGAGGCTCATTCAAAGACTTCTGTGGTTATTGTTAACGGTATTGAACAGAGGTTTTGCCAACAGTGCAGCAGGTTTGTTTGTTCATTCCTTCCTCTCTACTTTTAATGTTCTTCCCATGTTTTATCATGATTAGTATTCTTCTGGTCAGGTTTCATTTCCTTTCAGAGTTTGATAATGGGAAAAGAAGTTGCAGAAGACGATTAGCTGGTCACAATGAGCGAAGAAGGAAGCCTTCTTTCTGTTTCCTACCTGGTAAGCAGAAGAGGCATAAGCTTCTTCCTCAAGGTAGACTCGTGAGTTTCAAAGATGAACCAGCTATTTCTACTTGTGCTCACTCTCTTCTGTCAGCTCAGTCCCAACAACAACACTTGTCTGAAACTCCAAACACAAGTTTCTCAATCACTCAATCAAACCATACTCTGAATGGCTCAAGAATAGACTATCATCAGATGCAACCACCGTTGCATGGCAAGACCAAAACTAGTTCATCCTCAACAGTTGATCTCCTGCAATTGTCATCTCATCTTAAAAGAATTGAGCAACAACAGAGGAATTTCACTAATGATGTGAAGCAGGAATATAATAATGAACTTTATTTCCTCTCTAGCTAAACCTTTTAAACCAGCTTTGTGTTTCTTGAAACTGTGTTCTACACAAGGATATAGGCAAACCCAAAGACTGCATTAGTTTTACGAGATGGGTTAGATTAGTAGAATAAAGATTAAGTCTGGTTACAAGTGTTTTTGTAACTGATGTTGTGTATTATAATTATTCACCAGTCTGAAATAAAATTGTTTCAGATATCTATGTCTGCTTCTTTCACAGTGTTTCAGTCTATTTTTTTTTCTCAGACAATTTGTATATTAACGATGTGATGAATATTCGCTGAAAAAAGTTAATTTGCGCTTTTGTTTTATGTTCGACACGTCATCTGAGATTCTCATATTCCAAGTTACGATGTTGAAAGTAACAAATCGTTTGGAAAATAATTTGTACTACAGATAGAGACGAGAGAAATAGGCAGAAATTTTTATAGGATTAAGACAAACTCATAACGTCCCGACATGAACGTCCAGATGAACACAACAAAGTAACGTAGCTTTCGAATCTAAGTACAGACAGAACACAAGATAGTAATTAGGCAACATCATTTCTGCAGAGAGACATACAAAGGAAACACACACCAATTTTAAAGCATCTAAAACAACAACAACACATGATGATAATACGACGTCGATAACTAAACCCTTGGTAGAAAAGTTCGATCATGCACACGTGCGTTTATTATTTTTAGGCATTTCCTTGGGGATCATATCACTTCTTCTCACCGAATCCGAAACCCTAAAACAAAACAAAAAATACCATTAAGAATCGCTTTTGACAATTTTGTATTTATATTATTATATATCCGTACGGAGACTGTTAATTTGCATAGCTTACGTTGATGTTGCTGCCTCCGGAAGTAATGGAAGTAGGAGAATTGGGTATATACTTAGCCCACTGTTCCTCACATATTTTAATTATACAAATAAAATTAGTAAAAATTAAAAAAAATATACATATTAATGGAAACAAAAGTTTAAGAAGAGTCTTGAAAAATAGAGACTACTGTCTTACATTTTTGGCAGCAGCGCTAAAAGCTTCACGGTGAGGTATTTCCGGATTAGCACTCTTGATGCGTTGTATCTCATCCCTTTTTTAAGTTTTCAAGAAGATGAAGGAGAAGAAAATTATATTATGATACACATTATTCATGCTTAATTTTCTTATTAACTTGGAAATGAATGAGAATATATGTCAAATATTAACCTCATGAAGCGGTTGTAAGCCGATGGAAGTCTCTGCTTCTTCTCAGGAGCTGCAACACCAAACAAAAGTTCTTATATATACACTATCATCATATGAAAAGACTAAAATTATACAAAACCAGTTTGGAAATGGTAGTGTCAGAATCTTGTGTGGCTTACGTTTAACGACAAAGGGTGGTCTAGGAGACGGTGGCTGGTCACTGGAGGTCGAAGAGGAGGAGGAAGAAGAGCTTCCTTTCTTATACTCACTCCCACCAAAGCTCTGCATCTGCTTGTTCAAAAAAAAAAAAAAATTAGACCCATCAATACTGCTTTTTAGATACATGTATATTTAAATCAAGTGCTATAAACCTGAAGGGTGAGGCTAACATGGCCTTGAAGAGGAGGGCTTGTGGTGAGAAACGAAAGGTTACCACAATGGCCACATTTCACCGTTACAGTTTCAAGCATTCTCTTCATTGGTATCCCAACCTATATATGTTGATTTACGTTTATAATTAACTCCAACTCTTGAAAAAAAAAACACAACAATACATAGCTTAGCAAGCATTGCTTACTATCTACATATATATATATATATATATATGGACATGCATGTAGGGTTATATATCTATCTATGTGTAGGTTAATTACCGCGAGGATGGTGTTGCAGATGCTGCACCGGACGTAGTAGAGATGTTCGGCTTGAGGGGAAGCCCTTGAAGGCATGGTTGGTTTCTCTTCGAGGTTCATGATCTTTACGAATCGATTGAAAAACACTCTTGGGAGAGAGGGAGAGAGATAGTAGGAAAAGATGTGTGGAGATAGGGTTATGGTTATTTTATGAGATATGAAGGCTTCTATATATAGAGAAGTTCAGACATAGTGAGACCATGGAGGCATAGCAAACGAGAGAGAGACAAAGTTAGCTCAAGTGTTGGACGTATGCGCAGTCCATAAATGCATTTTATTATCTATTTTACAGCTAATAATATCTTAAAGGTTTTACAAAAACCAAATAAAATATTAAACAAATAAGACATTTAATCTAATTAATAAAACTAGGGTTTAGGCAACATAAATATAAATCCCTCATTAACTGACTCAAAATTGTGAAAAAAAACAAAAAACTGACTCAAAATGAGGCATATTTGAGTGTAAAAACTAATTTCTTTTCTTATGTCATATCATATATAAACAAACAAATATATGTATGTATATATATATATATATATATATATATTCAAATAAGGAACCGGATCTAGGGTTTTATGACTTTTATCTATGTTTCTACTGTTGCTAGTGATAGTACATACGACCTCTGCAAAATCTTGCAGACGTATTTAAGTTGCTTAAGAAATTTCAAGACTTTAAATATCCCTTCTCGTACATTAGTATTTACTATAATTAGCTGTGAAAGTGATTCAACAACGTTTTTGCATATAATATATGAATCCTAATGGTGCCTTAATGATGAGTAATTAATATAAAATTAACCAAGAAAAGGGAAAACAAACTAATCTAACCAAGCAGTCTTACTTTTATATTCATCAGCTTCTACATCGTACATTTAGACCCAAAAAAGCTTCTACATTGTACATATAGTAATCAATACACATGACGTGATGCAAAAGACAAAAGTGAGATGAATGATTTCGATAATTAGAATATTGAATTATAGATAATTACATGGTGTAAATATAATTAGATTATTTCAAGCTTGATGCCAGCAATTCTTGAGATGCCCACATGTTACAAATTTAAGAATTGTCCTTTTTTCTGATCTTTGATCTGCTTTATTTTTTATTCTTCAGAAAAATTTCACGCAAAAATAGTTTTCCTGCAGAACTGAGGACATAACTTGTCATGTTTCTCAACCTTTTTATTCATCGTGAAACTTCATTCAGTTATAACTATAAGAGAAATACAGAACTCGTTAATTAGCTGTCGAGAAACAACCAAAACATTGGATCTTCTCCAGACAAATCCAACTATCATAGATTGGATTCAAAAAGCAGAAAGTGATTCCAGTGAGGATCTTTTGATTTGCCGCTTTTATATTTTAAGGTTAAGGAAATTTTGCACACTGCACTACAAGTTTACTATTTTGGGGTGATGAAGGTTTACATATATACTGTACATGTAAGAGTATACTTCCTAATATAATTTAAGATGGCTTAAATATAAACATAAATTCATGAAATTAAAGATTAGATGTATTATATACATGCGATTTTTTCCCTAAAAGGCCAAGGCATAACTATATTTTGAAGGAAAGTACATTATCCTTCGTTAACAAAAAAAAAAGAAGAAGATATTGGCTTTTTATGATATGTGTTATGCTTTTGGAAATCCATGATAACTCTATAAATAAAATTTACTTCTCCATTCAGGTTTTCTTTGGGTTCTATTTTCTTCCTCATTTTCTCTTCCATCTTTGACATGGTTCCTCTCTTCTACAAGATTTTTTTCAGTTCTTATTGGATGAACAATTTGACATAGGACCAACTAATCATCATTTGAAAGGGAAAAAATCATCATGTGAAAGGGTCATCAGCATAATTCTTTACGAAGTTATTGTCGAAATATGAGATAGGATAAACATATTTTAGCATTTATTACTTATTAAACGGAAAATAAATTTAGAAGTGCACTTTGAGTTAAATCAAAATTGAAAAGGGTATTTATAAATTTCAAAAAGAGAAACTTGAAAAGATAGTGAAGAAAGAAGGAAGTCTAGAATGGATTCCATCTTTTGTGCGTGCACTGCCCCACAGGGAAATTGGACGTGGACAAGTGATAAATCATACGTCTCTTTCAGTGACTAACTTTTTTTTTGCTCTTTTTTTTTTTTTTTTTTTTTAAAGTACTTTCATTCCATTTCCCTTTTTTTTGCTCT